TGAGAATTATAGCAGTGAAGTTACTCTGGGTACGATTACAGCTAATTATAGTTTCATTTTGGAATTTAAAGGTTCCCCTGCAACACTCCCTCCTTCCCGCTTACAGGCACTGGCCTTGGAGCATGTTGTGACTGCTGCCCGTAATTGCAGTAACTGAGGTCCGTCAGGTCACTGCCAGCTATGTGACATGTGGATGCATTTGACGTTTAGTTGCTAGAAATGGGTAAGTCATTACGGTAATGGTATGGGGAGAAATCTATAAAGAATACCCTACACTGAGGCTAGAGCTGAGGCAATCTAAGCCCAAACTTTGCTAGATCTGTGCCTGGGGGAGAGCTCAACCGCAAGAAGGCAGCAATCCCTGCCTGGCAAGGCTTTTGGAGTGAGAGCACTGCAGAATTTGTAAGCAAATGAGGGATTTTTGACAAAAAGCAGTTATGTTCAGAGTGGTTAACAGCTGAAGAAACGTTCACTCCCGTGCACAGACTCAGCACAAGGTGACTGCTTTAACGTCAGAAACAGAGCCCTAGTACAGCACGGGTAAGATGGCAGACACAGCTGGGCGAAGCCATGGTAAATTCATCGACTGCTCCCTAATAGGAAACACTTCTCGATATTTTTTCATAACTGTAGTTATTCCTTTTGCCTCTAAATCTTTAAAGCTTGATGCTGGCATCAGGTTTGTATCATAAATCTCTTCCTTCTATCATAGCTTTGCCTGTCACTGCTGATACTCCCAAGCAGAGAGCTGCGCCCGGCTGTGCCGGAGCAGCCCAAGATGGCCTTGACATCAGTTCAGCAGAAACCATGTTGGTGGCAGTGGAGCAATTCAGGCACCTGAAGAAACTCTGCCAAGCCTCTGCAGCCAGATGGGGCAGAGCGTGCCCGGGCAGCCCCGTCACTCTCCCTGCCCCAGGTGGTGCAGCTACGGGAACAAATGTACTCCATTGCTGAGCGGCACCGTGTGTTTCAAAACAAAATGTCAATGAGCTTTCCAGATTAAAACATTAAAAATATATGAACAACAACTGTCTCACACAAGGAAGCTAATAACACTGGTAGGGTTTTTCCTTTTGAAAACGGGTAAGATAATTTTTAATATCAGTGTGTTCATATGCAGTTATAGTTTCACCAAGTTGTAGGCCAGGAAGACTCATTAGATCTTCATTTGACCTTATAACAAACCGTTGTATTTTACCCAGCTATTTCTAATCGAACACAGCTATAAGCCCAAGAAAGTCAATAGTGGAGGAAAGCAGCAAGTCTTACTCTGGAGCCATCAAAAAGCAGAGAATCCTCTTTTTTCCTCTTGATAATTTGCTCTAATGACTAAAATCACTTCCCAGATAAAAAAACAAAGCCAAAAAAACCCCACCAAAACCCACACCTTATTTAATGATATCTGGTTCAGTTTTCAGATACGGGCTCTTCTTTTAGTTTTCTCTCCTTTTAGGAAAGAGTATTTTCTTCCCAGAAACAGACTTGGCACAAAAATATCACCTCAGACCTTTTTTTGGTCAATGAAACACACTGAGCCTTTCAGGCTTCCTATTGTAAAACATTTCCTCAGACCCTCAAATAATTTTAGCCATTCTTTCCTACCCATTCTTCAATTTTTCTGTATCCTTTCAAAGTTTCAACACAATATTTTGCTATTTGAGACCTGGTTTTAGTGATGCTGCACATAAAAGTAAAATTACCTCTTTTGCTGTTATTCACTACTCCCTGTTTATATATTTAAAGGCCACATAAATTCCTGTTGTCAGGTCGTCACAGTGGGACCAATGCACAGAGGCTTTTCGGAGCACTGCTCCCTTCATCCCATGAGTGCTATCTGTGCTCCTGTGTGCAGGGCTGTGCCTTTGCGCAGACCAACACATAGTTTGACAGATTCCTCGTCCTCTTTACCAAAAGATTCAGCTTCCCCAGTGCCAGTGTCCTTTCCTCTTCACTGCATACCACTCTCTTGATCTTCGTGCTTTGCAAAAATTTTTCATCTTGTGTTTTCCTGCAGACCACGGATAGAAACAATGGAGAGCTTTGGTACTTATACTTAACCCTAATGTGCCCCAGAAATCACAGGTCCATTCAGTCCTGATTCTCCATCAACAGCTACTTGTTGAGCTCTGTCAGACACTTCGTAATCCATTTAATGTATATTCTTATGTTACCGAATAGTGCTAATGTTTAATCAGCACGCTATTCAGTGCCAAGTCAAACACCTTACAAAAGTCTAAATGCACTAAATTTATAGAATCATTTTTGTCAACCAGACATGTAATATAATCAGAATTAGGTTTCTTTGATAAAGTTTGCCATAAAATCATGTCATTTAGACTACTTACTAATTTACTTTTGCATGAGCTTTTGAATTATTTAACCAAAAATTATTACGAACTAACTAGCCTGCTTGAGTCTTAGGAAATACTTCCTCATAACAACCTTCTGTCTAAAATTGATATAGAAACATTTCTATATCAAACGGGTGAGCATTAGCTCATTCACAAGGCAGCTCTTTACTTTCAGGGAGACTGGACTGGATTTGCTGCCTTTTGGAAGCTGTCACAGGTAAACTGGGCTTGGATGGGACCAGATGCCTAACGCAGGGGCACAGTACCCTGTTCCTCTCAGCAC